TTCGTTCGGTATCGATACTCAGTGTTTTAAATCGATTTCAGTATGCAATTTTGGTACCGATACTCAGGGGAGTATCGATACCAAGTGGGTAGTATTGATACTCCCAATAGGGGTATCGATACTGGGACATTTTCCAAATCATCAAATGTAATTTTGGTATCGATACCGAAGTAAGTGAGTATCGATACCCACGTGAAACCTTGGGCAAATTTGGTGGGTAATTCGAGAGAAATGATTTGGGGGTTCTTTAAAGGGGTGTACTCTTCCAAAAGAATACAAGTAAAACTCAAATAATTGTGTGATAACATAAGGTCTTAATAAAGTAAGATTCCATAAGACTTATGCCTTTGTTTAATTCTCGGGAAACGACGAGGACACCCGAGTTACTTACTGACGCTAGATGAATGAGTAAGGATTATCCGGATATATCCAATCTAGTGCTTAGGCACTTAAAATGCTAGTTGGATGTTGTGTCGATGCTATGTGACCCATACACTTCCCGAGTACTCTAGAGGAGTAGATTAGTCGGGCAAGTGTTGATTCTTCGTGACTCGGACTTGGCCCTAGTGTTGATGAGACAATGATGTTATGTGACCTAGGTCTTTCTTAAGTGTTGTCGTAAGTAAAGAGGGGTGTAAGATCTGTGATGCTAAGTGACATTGAACTACACCATGATACTTATTATTTGTTGGAGTATTGCATTTACTCTCGACTATAATGTATTATGCTTATATGTTGGATGTATGTCGTATTGCTTGGGTATTTATGTGGCACTAAGCTTGTGAGCTTAGCGTATGGAATGTGTTTTCGTGTGCAGATCCTTAGGTGTCGGATCGAGGAGCACGTCGTCGATTCAGAGCTTTCTAGATTCTACCATTTCGGAGTACGTCTCGAGTATTTAGTGGGCATGTACTGGCATGACCCTTATTTGTATTTGAATCGCAAAATATGTATTTTGATTACTAATATATTTTGGAGACTTATGCTGGGAGTTCCCCCTTATTTTAAATACTAATGTTTTGTATTTACATGGTATTCAGATTTTCTGGATAATATTTGATGAAACATTTAAAAACAGTTAGCCACCTATGTGGTTCCGTGTGACATCATAATTCAATGATTTTCGAGTTAAATTGGATTAGGGTGTTACATTTAGCGGTATTAGAGCGTCAGGTTTAATCATTTGTAGGACATGCGAGTTATTTTCGTTAAGTGTCCGTGAAGTACATGCCTCTAGAGTATCAAGTGTACTTAAATGTATGGAAATGGCGATTCTGATTCCTTTTTTTCTTGTCAATCGTAGGTTATGGCTGACGATCCCGCCCACAGTTAGGAGTATTGTGAGGAGAACCATGCCTTGTTAGTTGAATATACAAGAGATGAGTTTGTTCCCGACTTCGCGGACATGGGTGTCCCAGAGGAGGCATGTATAGATGAGGCAACATTCTTTCATGACCTCACGCAGTCGTTAAGGCACATAGTTAGGGCTATCCCTAGAGCACTCGCAACATCCGCACCACCTGCTCCACCTGTAGTAGGCCCTCAAGAGTCCCCCATCGAGAAACTCCGTCGCTACAAAACCACTGACTTCTTCTGATCAGAGGAGGATGATCCTGTAGCTGCCGACCAGTGGCTTCGCAAGACCCTTCGCACTCTACGACAGTTTCATCTTACCCTTGAAGGTAACATCGAGTCAGGGGTGTTCAAAATTTGATTTTAACCGAATTAACCGATCGAACCTAATTAGTTCGGTTAATTCGGTCGGTCACAAAATTAGTTCAGTCAGGGAACAATTAAAGATTTTTTTGGAATTCGGTTAACGGTTAATTCGGTTCGAAATCAGTTAATTAATCGAATTAATCGAATTAACCTTTAAATATAATTATATTAAGTGGGGTCAATCCATTTAAAATCCAAATCCATATTAATTAATTAAAATAATCTCAAAACTAAATGCAAAATGTTTGAATTAAATTAATTAGATATTATTTATAATTAGATATTATTTAAATTAATTGTTATTTTTAAATTAAAAAAAATATTAAATTCTAAAATTCTAAAAAATTTCGGTTAATTCAAAAATTAACTGAATTAACCGAAATTTATTCGGTTCAGTTAATACTTTCAAGAAAAAGTTCGGTTCGGTTAACGGTTAAAGAAAAAAGTTCAGTTAATTCGGTTAAGGGTATTTCGGTTCGGTCGGCCACCGTTTTAACCGAGCGAACACCCCTGCATCGAGTGCATCACCGCCTTGTTAAAGGGTGATGCGATTCACTAGTGGGAGATAGTGGAGATGGCGTTGGAGCCCAAGCGTTTGGCATGGGAGCTTTTCTTGTCTGAATTTAGGGAAAGTTCATAGGAGAAACCCACACCGATGACCTGAGAGAACAATTTGTTCAGATGACTCAGGGAGATCGCTCGGACTACGAGTATGAGAGCGAGTTTTTACGGCTGAGCCACTACATACTCAAGTTGGTGTCTACTGAGGAGTACTGCTATAGGAAGTTTAGAGAGGGACTTCACTTTGACATTCTCACTGACCTGTCAGCCGACCCACCGAGAATGTTTGTTGAGTTGACTCGCCAGGCGAAGGCAGTTGAGAGAGTAGTGAAGAGGAGGGCCAGTATGATGCGGGACAGAGTCGTTGAGCACCTGATACCGCTAGACCATCTCAGACATCAATAAGAGGACCAGAGACTCGGGAATAGTATAGACCTTCCTCATCTCATTCCTAGAGGTCGAGATAGGCGTGTAGCCATGGACAAGGATTCGGGGGTCGTAGGAGGCATTTGACTTCATCATTTATGGCAAGAATTGGCTGATCAAATTGTACCATGCAACCCCCGACTTGCAGACACTGTGGTAGGAGGCATTCAGGGGAGTGCCATAGGGTTTCTCGGGCTTGTTATGGGTGTAGATCCCATGAGCATCTTAACATAGACTGTTCCAAGGCTTAGAGTATTGCATCGTCTACTTAGAGGTCGACTCAGTCTGCTCAGAGGGGTCGAGGACCTTATTAGGGAGGAGGTAGTATTGCTTATGGTTAGCAGAGCAGGGGTACTACCAGATTAGTAACTGAGCCTGAGGCTAGAGTTGCTTCCCGCCAGTACCCATATGAGTGAATAGTAATGATATTGTTCTTCGTGAAAGGCTGAAAGTTTGAATAAGAGTGAGAGGTATCGATACTCACCAGGGAGTATCGATATTGTTCGTGCAATATTGATACCACGGGGATTAGTATCAATACTCGGGGTTCTAAATCGATTCCAATATGCAATTTTGGTATCGATACTCAAGGGAATATCAATACCAAGTGGGTAGTATTGATACTCCTAATAGGAGTATCGATATTGCGACATTTTCTAAATCATCGAATGCAATTTTGGTATCGATACCGAAGGGAGTGAGTATCAATACTCCCAGGTGAAACCTTGGGCAAATTTGGTAGGTGATTCGAGAGAGAGGATTTGGGTGTTCTTTAAAGGGGTGTACTCTTCCATAATAATACAAGTGAAACCCGAATAATTGTGTGATAACATAGTCTTAATGAAGTAAGATTCCATAAGACATGCATTTGTTTGATGCTCGAGAAACGACGAGGACACCCGAGTTATTTAATGACGCTAGATGAATGAGTAAGGATTATCTGGATATATCCAATCTAATGCTTAGGCACTTAAAATGCTAGTTGGATGTTGTGCCGATGCTATATGACCTGGACACATCCCGAGTACTCTAGAGGAGTAGACTAGTTGAGCAAGTGCTGATGCTTCGTGACCTTGACTTGACCCAAGTGTTAAGGAGACACTGATGCTATACTGTTTGCTTGAGTGTTGCATTTGCTCTTGACTATATTGTATTATGTTTATATGTTGGATGCCTGTAGTATAGCCTGATTATTTATGTGGCATTGAGCTTGTGATCTCAGCGTATGTAATGTGTTTCCGTGTACAGGTCCTTAGGTGCCGGATCGAGGAGCACGTCGCCGATTTAGAGTTTTCCAGACTCGACCATTTCAGAGTACATCTCGAGTATTTAGTGGGCATGTGCTGTCATAGACCCTTATTTGTATTTGAGTAATAAACTATGTATTTTTATAACTAATATATTTTGGAGACTTATGTCGGGAGTTCCCCGTATTTCAAATACTTTCGTTTTGTATTTACATGGTATTCGGATTTTCTGGATAATATTTGATGAAATGTTTTCAAAAAAAAAAATGGTTAGACACCTATGTGGTTCTGTATGACATTATAATTCAATGATCTTCATGTTAAATTGAATTAGGGTGTTACAAAATCCAAGCTTAGAAAAAGGCTTGGATTCGATCATTGTTCATTACTAAAGATTAACCCTTGAAGGGGTGTTGTGGAAGAGGTGGAGAACTTGTTCGTTGAACTGAAGAATTAATTATTTTTGTTGAACTTAGGTGCCTCATCGAATTTAAATGTTTCGTCTCGAATCCTTCACATTTCTAGAATTCATGTTGAGGTGGAGATTTATTAAAGTTCGACTCGAATTCAAAGTTTGCACATTCTAGAGTTTGCACCATCTTTATGACATATGAGTAGGTTATAACACCTTAAAGTTTGCTAGGTTATTACAACTTCTAAAGTTCGTGCCATCTTCATAACATGAAAGTTGTAATTTCTTTACGAAAAGTTTTGAATCAACATTAGATTTAATTTTGCAACGTTGTTGTGCTAAAAATTTTGGATAAAGAACTTGTTTGTAATCTATCATAGCAACTTCTCCCAAAGTTTGTTAATATTATAGACAACCAATAATATGTTGATTTCATAAGACAAGTTATAAACCCATAATATGTTCCTTTAAAGATAAAGTTTTAGTCTCCACCACATTGATAATCACGTCACCATATCGTTACCCGATCTTATGTCTAAGTTTACACGATTTTATTAATAGGATAGAGTTAACCTTATCATTAGTTTATGTATATTTGAATATATATATATATATATTGCATAGGGGAGGGGAAAGAGTTATTAATTTCGATTGAAGTCATTTATCACACACACTCAAACGTGCTTCTGGTTTTATTACATTGAAAAATTTCTCAGCCCACCATGGATTGAAATAAAAGGTGAAAAACAACATAAAAAGATAAGATAACCAATTCCCAAACACTGAAACCAAAGCAAAGTATCATATTGGAAGAGGGGCGCCGTTCCATTCATTAAGGCATTCAAGCATTGGATCAATGATCTTCCCTCTGCACATAGCAGTGAACACCTTGTCGAACTCTTCACCGGGTGACTTCCCTTTTTCTCCACTTAGCAGCTCAGTTCCAAGCTCCTCCCTCACGAATTTGTACAATGGATACGATCTGCACTCCTTGATCTTGTTTGGTACTGCTGCATTTCCATTCTCGAATGACACCCTTGCACTCTCGACCTCCTTTGGCAAAACAGCCTTTAATTCGTCTTCGAAAGCTGCAATCTTTAGGAAGATTGAAGTGCTTGTATTCTTCTCATTCCCACCATTTGCCGATGCATGCTCAACGAGTACATGCCTCAGCTTTGGCATCAATGGATGTGCACCATTGCAAGGTTCGTCGATATAGGTGAAAACGTATTCATGATCCACGACTTCGAGTAAATCCTTTTCACAGAATCTTGATGGGTGAACTTCACCATATGGATCAGAAGTGAGAGTTTTCTTGGCTGTCTGGCTCACAGTGTTCATCACTGTGTTCTTCAAGTTGTCTTCTAAATGCCTCAAATCTATAGCTTGGCAAAGAGCCACCAAGAATGTTGTGGACATCAGCTTCAAGATATCGACAGCTTCAGCAGTTTTTAGCGCAGAGATTAGTCCCAAGGAGTTCACATCTTGGTTGTGCTGCTCAGTGCTTTGAACATGGTTGGTGACTGGATTAGCCAAATATTGGAGCTCAGAGCAATAGGAAGCCATTGCAACTTCAGCACCCTTGAAACCATAATCCAGGCTTAGATTCCTACCACCGGAGAGGTTTGATGGGAGACCATTGTTGTAGAAATCATTAACAAGTTCAGAGAATTGAGCAAACAAAAGTTTCCCAATAGCCGCGACAGCTAAACGAGCATTGTCCATCGAGACACCAATTGGGGTACCCTGGAAGTTGCCACAATGTAATGCCTTGTTCCTCGAGACATCGACCAAAGGGTTATCATTGACAGAATTAATTTCTCTTTCAATAGATTTGGTTGCGAATCTGATCACTTCAATCTGTGGGCCAAGCCATTGTGGAGATGACCTCAGAGCATAGCGATCTTGTTTCGATTTCTGCAAAGGGTCCATTTCATTCAACGTTTTAGACGCTTTAACAAAAGAGCTTCCCACAAGTATGTGTTCCATTATAGCAGCGGCCTCGATTTGTCCCGGATGATGCTTCACTTTATGAATCAAATGGTCAGTGAACTCGGGTAATTTACAATGCATAACTTCAGCAAAAACTGCAGATAAAATTTCTGACAAAACAGCCAATATGTTAGCTTCAAAAAGAACAATGGAAGCCATGCCGGAACCAACTGCAGTGCCATTGACTAGAGCAAGGCCTTCTTTAGGCTGTAACAAAAAGAACCCGGAATCAATACCGGCGACACGGAAGGCCTCCTGGGCATCAAGGGGTTCCCCATTGGGTCCAATTGCTTTTGAATTAGGCCTTCCAGTGAGCAATCCAACAATGTAGGAAAGAGGGACAATATCACCAGATGCAGTAACTGAGCCACGAAGAGGCAAGCATGGGGTGATGTTGTGGTTGAGAAGCTTAGCGATTGCCTCCAGAATTTCGAACCTGATCCCAGAGTATCCCTGTAGCAGTGAGTTGATCCTGACAAGCATGGCTGCTCGAGTTGCCGAGTGAGAAAGTGTGTGGCATGACTGTGTTCCACTGCCAAAGATCCCAGCATTCAAGAACCTGAACCAACAAAACACATTAAATTTATATTGAATTCTTATGCACTGCATAATATAAGAGCTTACCTGATTAGCTCATTTTGCAGAGCAGATACTTGGTTGGTTCTTAAACGAGAATTAGCACCAAAACCAGTGGTAATGCCATAGGTGTCGGTGCCTTTGCTGAGGCCATCAAAGACCCAATCAACACTAGCCTTAACGCCAGCCCTTGCGTCCTCTGAAAGCTCTACCTTGACACACAAGTCAGCTCTGGCTATGGCAGCAACTTGAGAAATTGTCAAGGTCTCACCACCGAGCTTCACCGATGACCGCCTATACTCGGTTACCATACGTTTAACTTCATCCAAATGGCTTCCCTTGAGTGACTCAGCTGCTGCATCCCAGTTCAAGTGGTCCACAACACCACCCTTAGTATTAGTATTAGTAGTAGTCGTGCCGAAGCTCTCCAAAGAGCTGCTGTGTTGACCTTTTCGACTGATCGTTTCCATGTTAAAGATTGCAGAAATGGTGGAAATGAAAGAAGTCGAACTTGTTAATCAAAATGGGAGGCTTTTGGTTTTCCAATCTAAGGTGGTGCTTAAATATAAAATCACCAAGTAAATTGTGACAGTTAACAAAATATCACTTTATCGCATGTTAAAAGTTTTAAATTCAGGTACCATATTTGCATAATAAAATTAGATATCATATTTTTTAAAATTACCAATTTCGTTATCAAATTGATTCATACATAATCACATGTATTATATTTATAAAATTTAAGGGTCTGTTTGGTAATGCTTTTAAAAAGTATTTTTAGTTAAAAAATCCGTTTTGACTGGAAAATCAATGCTGAACAGGTAAAAAAATTAAAAAAAAACGTGTTGGAAACAGTGGTTGCAACCCAACCGTAAAAGCTAGGACTTCTTGCTTTTTCATTTTCAACTTTGCGTTTGGAAGCAAATTATAATTTTATCATTGCTAATGCATGAGCTCCTCTCAATTATGTATTTATATTTTATTTTAATAATTTAATACTAACATCCTTAAAAAATAGTTTATTACTTTTAATAATTTATTTTAACTATTTAAAAATAAATAAAATTCATAATTTATATATAAAATATTAATAGTAAGTTATATAAAATATAGTTTTATTATAATTATATTTTTTATTTGTATATTTATATTTTTATTATAATTAGGTTGATATAATTCGTATATGATAGTAATTTTTTTTTTGAATTTGTTATAGTTTAAATTGATATGATTTATATATAAGTGTAAAAATATTTTAAATGTTTATATTTTCAATTTACAATATAAAATTTATAATGGACATTTTATTTTTTAAAACTCACTTTTTAACAGCCATTCCAAAAAGTTAAAATTTAAAATGCACTTTTGTACATCACTTTTAAAAGTTTGTTTTTGTATCACTTTTAAAAGTTAATTTTCAAAAGTTATACCGAACTAGCCCGAATTATCACATTAGAAAAAAATACTAAATTTAAATATAAAATTTATTAAAAAATATAGGATAAAGTATACAAATGGTCCTCCGACTAAAAGATATTAGTTTATTGAGTTCCTTAACTACTAAAAAGTTATGAAATAATCCTCCAATTATAGGACATTGCTTTTTTGAGTCACTGACTATTAAAATTTACAAACTGGTCACCCAATTATTCATTGTGTTCAAAACTCGTCATTTCCATTAAAAAATTAATGGTAGTTTGAGTTGAAAATTAGTCAACAAATTGAGATATCGTAGTCGTATAAGATTATGAGATCAAATTATATCATACAGGGATGGATGTCAGGGCCAAAAGGGGCCCCAAGCCCTATAAAATATTATATATTCGATAAATTTTGGTCTTATAACGCCCGAGATCCCGGGTTATGAGATTTGGGCTAACTCGAGGTAAGCCTTGGATTAAATCTCTAGCTTGTAGAAAACTTTAACCCAAATTGAAGTGGATTGGGCTTGAGTTAAGCCCAATTCATAGTAAAAAGAGGTATTTTTAGTTGCAGTCAAAAATCAGAGGGACCAAGGAGTAATTATACCATTGTTTAAAATAAAGCATGGAAAACCAATTAAGATTGGTGATCTCACGTCTGAACTTAGCTTTTTCTTTTTCACTATCTTTTTTTGTCTTATTCTCTTATTCTTCAACTTTTTCCTTCTCCCTTTAGCAAGAACAAAGGTGGAAGCTTTGTGCTTTGTAAGCTCAGTTCAAGAAAACTAAGGTAAGTTTCATAATCCTCATCACCTCAACATCACATTAAGATCTCAACTCTCTCATTCTACCAAGTAACAAAAAATGGGTTTAGTGGGGGTTTTAGAAACCCAAGTATTTACAGCTTGTTTTGGGGAGATTTAGGCCTCTTAGAATGTTTTAAATTCTTCACTAATTACTCTAGCAACATTAGTAATTTTTATACTTGATTTTTTCTAGTGAGAGAAGTTGGGGAAAACTCTCAAGCAAGGATAAAGAAAAGCTTACCTTGGCTTGACCTTTGGGAACCCTTAGCAGCTTAGGATCATCAGGTAACTCGTTTCTAACTAAACTATACCATGTGTAGCTCATTAGATGAGTTTTGATAGATTTCATAAGCTTTAAGCATGCCATGGTAGATTCCATCATTTGAGTGTTTTTATCATGTTTGTAGACTCTTTATGACCCCTAATAACACTTAAAACACTTAAACATCAGTGGAGGACCACAATAGGACTTTTAGGGTAGAAAGATAGGATTTTTTGTGTCAAAACAGGGCACCCCGTAGCACTAGTATCGATAATGTAAGAACAATATCGATATCGTTCTTCATTCAAGCTTAAAACATGAAATTTTTAAAGGGTAGTATTGATAGTCATTCTTAAAGTATCGATACTGATACCCCAATTTCAATATTGGCTTACTATCTATACCAATATAACAATAGGCAATTTTGGTATCTTTACTTACATAGAGTATCAATACCAGGGTAGTGGTATCGATACTCCCAGTAGGGGTATCGATACTGAGGTATTTTCAAAACATCGAATCCAATTTTGGTATCGATACTCAGTCTAGTATCAATACCCCAGTACCAAAGTATCGATACTCAGCCTCGAGTATCGATACTACCTTAATCAAATAACCTTATTCAGTCAGGGGTATCGATACCAACAGGTGGATATCGATACCATGTTAATTATTAATACTGAAGAGTCAATATCGGTGCCCACATACATTTTTGGATAAATAATCCAAGGATTCAGGGATCAGACCTAATATACCCCAAATACACTTTAATACAACAAATAAGACTTCAAGGGATAGCAATAATTACTATCAGAACAGTAGAAACAATAACAGTTAGGTTACATAAAACTATCCTTGTTTGACGTTTGGGAAACAACCATGACACCCGAGTTCCTCCTTAGCAGAATACGACAGTCAGTGGATATCCAAGTCAATGCTATGGCACTTAAACAGCCGACTGGGCGCAGATGCCCCAAGACACGACATAGTAAGTTGGTGGGCGTACGTTTCTGATGCAGCTCTGGATCTCACCCTAGATGCCCAAGGGTATCTTAGAAAGACTAGAGGAATGCGTGAGCTCTGAGATGCAGAAACCTCAGCCGCACCATAATGCCTCCTCGGTAGTTAAATTAATAGTTTGTATGTTTGGACCCGTGCCACCAACTATCTCATTTTAGTGATGTATGCACTATAGTACAATTATTAGTGAGGCACTGAGCTCGTAAGCTTATCGTTCAGAATGTGTTTCCGTGTGTAGGTTCTTAGGGGAAAATCTTGCAGAATTATCATCGCCAGACATTCTAGTGCAGCAATACAAACCAGCAGTGACCACCAGAGTACGTCTTGAGTCATCTTTAAAGGGCATGTACTATTTATGAGCCTTTGTGTGTATTCAGTCATAACTTTGCATTATATTTGGTACCATATTATTTTGAGATATATTTTGGGAGCTCCACATTATTTTGTAAACATAGATTGTCATGTTTTATTTTTATTACTATGGATGGATTATTTCAGTAATTATAAAAAGTTTTAAAAGAAAATGGTTGGGTCATTATTTCGGTAGTCTCGTGTAACATTGTAATCCACGGATCTTCGGGTCAAACTGGATTAGGTTGTTACATGTTTAATATTATTTTGGTTCATATAAAAATAAGTATTCAAATTAAAAAAATACAAGAATTTAATAAGTATTTAATTAAGTAGGGGCCAAACTAAATAATGATAATCCGATATTCTAAAGTTCTTTGGTCTAATAACAATTTAAGTCATTGTAACTTTTATTATTAGACAAATTAAGCATTGTCTTTTGAATTTTGAGTTTAAATACCTAATAAGCCATTGTATTTTTCTTTAAAAATCTAATATTTTGGCCTTTCCCAATATTTAGTCCTGGCTCTGTTACTGATATCATATCCCAATTAGCAAATTAACGTCCTACCCAAACTATCAATAATTTCTAACAGAAAAGGATGAGTTTGGAACACAATGAATAGTCAGGTGACCATTTTGTAACTTTTAATAGTCTGAGACTAAACAAAGCAACATCTTAGTATCAAGAGACTATTTTTAACTTTTTAATAGTCGATAGACTTAATAAAGCAACATCCTATAATCGGGGACCATTTGTGTACTTTACCCAAAAATATAAACCCCTCATTTGTAAAGAAATACCAATTCTAGCGTCAAATCACATTTGAAATATTTTAATTATAGGACGAAAAAGTTATAAAAGAAAAAATATTATATGTATATATATATATTCGATAGTATTGTTAGTGTTATGTATACGAGCGTGTGCTGTAAATTCTAGAATAGTTCTAGAACAGTTTGTTAGCTTCTTGTTATGAGCAGTTAAGTTGTTAATGGCTTGTTGCACAACATTTACAGTTTCTTCTTGCTTGTATAAATAAGCTACTCTCTAACTCATGAGAGATCAACTTTTCATTAATAAAGAATTACAAAGATTTCATTTCTTGTTTCTTAGATAGCTAAACTGCTATTTTATCATTGTATATTTCGCCAATACCTGGGTGTTTTCTTCCGCTGTTTCTTCTTCATTCTAGTAGCTGCACGAGATTAAGTTCTCACATTGTGTATTCCTGGCATCATGGTTGATTTGACGGTTGATCCCGAGGATGTGTCTCCGAATGCTTCCTCCCTGAGTCCTGGAACTTCTCGAGGTATGTTTGGCATTCAACACATACCAAAGCATGACACTGTTAAACTCACTGAATCCACATACCTTCTTTGGAAGCATCAAGTGGCTTTGATAATTGATGGCTATGGGTTGCTGAGGTTCATCTCGGCCGGATCTGTTGCACCAGATGAGTTCATCACTAATGCGTCTGGACAACTTGAAGAGAATCCAGTGTTTGCAGCTCATCATCAGCAAGATAAACTGCTTGCTTCCTGGCTTTTAACTACTATGAGTACAGAGGTTCTGCCTCACTTGACTGGACTTACAACTGCGATGTCAATCTGGAATACTATATCTCGTCTGTTTGGTGCTCGTTCCAGTGCCAAGATTTC